TCCTCTGGATTGAAGATATTGAGGCAGTTTTCCCTTTTAATTTCTTGAAATATGATGTCTAGGCTCCTTTTTAAATCATGGATTTCAGTAATTTTCAATTTTCAGTAATTTTCAATATTTCTTAAATTATCTGTCCTCAATCTTTTTCCGGTCAATTGTTTTTCCAATGACATATTTCATATTTTCTTTATTTTTCATCCTTTTGACTTTTATTCTTTCTTGATGTCTCATGAAGTCACTAGCTTCCACTTGCCCAATTCTAATTTTTAAGGAATTCTTTCCTCAGTGAACTTTTGTATCTCTTTTGCCATTTGGCCTCTTCAGTGGATTTTTTATGCCTCTTTTACCAAGGTGCTAATTTTCTTTTCATAATTTTCTTATATCATTCTCATTTCTTTTCCCAATTTTCCCCCTACCACTCATATCTTTCTTTATATCTTTCTAAATATCTTTATATCTTTTTTCCAGGAATTCCTATTGATCCTGCGTTCAATTAGCATTTTTTTGGGGGGGCAGCTTTGGTTGTAGCTGTTTTCATGTTGTTGTCTTCTGAGTTTATGTCTTGGTCTTCCCTGCCACTGTAGAAGTTTTTATGGTCAAGGTCTTTTTTTTTGTTTGCTCATTTTTTCTAGCCTTTTTTCTTGACTTTTAAATTTACATTAAAGTTGGGCTCTGCTCATCTAGGGGTGGGGAGGCACTGTCCCAAGCTTCAAGCTTTTTCATGACACTGTTTTCAGAGCTAGTTCTGGAGGTCTTCAAGTTTTTGGTGCTTCCAAGGTGTTATCCTGTGAGAGATGTGGTCATTGCTCTCCTGATCTGCAATCTGGTCTTTACCCAAGATGGACCCTTGTTCCCCTGCATCCACAAGCCCTTGCAAACTCAGGAAGTATAAGAACAAAATTATTAAAAAAACCCTTTTATACAAATAAAAGCAGATTTAAATAATTGTAGAAATATTAGTTGTTCATGGGTAGGCAGGGCCAACATAATAAAAATGACAAACTTACCTAAACTGATTTATATATCCAATGTCATCTCAATTATTTTGCCAAAGATTATTTTACTGCATTAGAAAAAATAATAATAAAATTCATCTGGAAGAACAAAAGGTCAAGAATATCAAAGAAACTAGTGAAAAAGATGTAACTGAAGTAGGTGTAGCAGTATCAGATCTTAAATTATATTACAAGTCACTGATTATCAAAATTAGCTCTCCTCTTTGCCCTGGAACTGTGACCAGGCCCCCTGTTCCCCTGCCACTTCAAACACTAGCACTCCTCTCCACCCTGGAACTGTGACTCAGAACTACATACAGGCAATAGAACTGCCAATCAGCACCTGCTGTCCCCAGTGCCAGCAACAAGTTCCCTGCAATCTCTTTCTGACCAGTTGTCTGATCCCCTTGCCAAATCCCCCTGCCAAATCCCCCTGCCAAAGCTGCTGCTGCTAGGGCTGCAGCTGTGTCTGTGACTGTGGCTGCTCTAGCAGTGGCTTTGCTGCTGTGGCATGTGTACTCCAAACTAGCCTTCACTCTGGAATCATAGAGTTTCCTGCTGACCTCCAAAGTTTTCTTAGACTGGGAAAATGTCTCATTCTGCCCTTTTATTGGCTCAACCACACCAAAATTTTATTTGAGACATTATTTTAAAGGTTTTCTTTTTTTTTTTTTTTGGAGGGGGGAGTCAGGAACTTTCAAGAACTCAGACAAGGTGGATAAAGTAGGAAAGTTAGGAGAGGGATAGGAGACATTGCCTTGTACCAGGCCATTTTGGAAGTATTGAACCCACCCCAAAGTGTCCCTGAGATCCTAAAATAACATAATATTTAATATCCCAAGAAAAGAACAACAGACCCAGCCTAGGATTTCCCTTCAGAAATGTGCAGAGCATGGTCTAAAATCAAGTGTAAAATCAGGAAATAGGCTGGCAAAATGAATACTTTTTTTTAAAGAAGATTCCTACCATAAAAAACTATTATGGCAATAGAGATATTCAAGATACAAACCTCAAAGAAGAAAATGACTCCAAAACATCTACAAACAAAGACTCAAAGGAAAACAGTTTGAGCACAAATTCAACTAGAATTCTGAGAGCTGAAGCAAGAATTTTTTAAAAAGTTAAAAATACTTTTATAAATGCTAATGGGAGAATGCTAATGGAAAATATTGGAAAAGAGATGAGAGCTGTGGATGAAAGAATTGGAAAGACAATTAACAGCTTGGCATAAAAGGTATCTTAAACAAGTCACATGATTCCACAAAACAACAAGAAATATTAAAACAAAATCAAAAGGCTGGAAAAATTAACTAGTTCTTTTATATCTTGATGATCTTAAGAGAAGAATGCAAAAAAGAGGGCAGGAGACATACCTTGGGGGATCAGAAGGGAAAAGAAGATCAGTGAAAGTTATCTCACATAATCAAGATGTGCCAGTAGACAAGCAGAAAGGAGTGGAGATGAATGGCTGATACTTGAATTTCACTCTCCTCATAGAAAAGTGAAGAACTCAGAGTACAGAATTAGACTTTTTTGGGGGCAGGGGCATAGCAAATATGAAAATTTGTTTTGCTTAACTATACATGTTTGTAATAAGGGATTTTGTTTTTCTTACAGTCTCATTTGGGGGGAAGGGTTGGAGTGGAAGGGAGAAAAGGTGGATATTTTCTGATTGAAAAAAATGATTTCTTTTTTAAATAGAAGCAACTTTTACTGGAAGTTTTGAAAGTTTATTAATATTAATACTCAGGAGGCAGATATCAATAACTCCATCCTAATGAAGCACACAAAGGATAAAGATGTCCCTGATAATGCCAATGTCCTTGAAGACAGTGAGTGCTCCAGTCTACCCTCGAATTCAGATATCCTAGATGAGCATGTTATCCATTGTTGCATATAAACCCTCAGATGGCAAACACTTCTGGCCAACAAGTTGAGGTCATGCCGACCCTCATATTTTATGTTTGCTTCAGCTGTTTTTACAACTTTTACCAAAAAAAATTCCCTTTTGGGTTGACATGCACAGTATTTGCTTTTGACCCCAAAGTTCTCAGGATAAAATCTATTTGACTATTTTAAAATAGTCACACAGAGCAAAACTTTTTACTTAGATTCACTAATTAGAAAATGAAACATTTCTCCCCACACTCTCTTTACCAGAGCATCTCAGAACTTATTCTTTGTTCTCCATCCTTAACCTTGGGAAACAGGCAACTTGTCAGTGAAGGGTGGGGAAGGGGGTTGGAAACAAGGGGACAGGGTGACTTCAAGTTTGTGCAAAAGACCTGAAGTGCTGACACGCATTCAGTCAACAGCATCTCCTACCTTCCCTCCTCAACCACTAATAGGAAGTCACATAATAGAATCGTAAGAAGGATCCTTAAGCCCTTGACAGTTTCCCCTCCATGTTGTCTTTCAGATTTTCCCCACCCCACACACCTTTAAAGCTTCACTTGATGCTCAATTTAACTTGATTTCACTGCCACAGAAATGTTCAAGCTGGAGTGCACACAACATGATTTGCCAGAATAAACTCCACCTTTCAATGTCTCAAATCTCTAAGAATTTAAGTTGCAGACAAGTTACCTAGCTGCATGGGGGAAAGGATCTCCATTGATAGTGAAGGGAGTACCTCTGCCCCATTCTACCAAAATGCATATACAATCCTGCTGGGAATGACTGTACATCTCACTAACCTGACTTATTCCTAGAGAATCAGTTCTCAGATTTGAGGAAATAATTGTTCAAACTTTCTGGAGCTTATATGCCTATTCCTCAGTACTACAAACTGAGATTCAGAATTTGAGTATCATAACTTTATCTACCATTCACCAAAAAGTATTAGCTATTTCCATTTCATAATTTTTTTTGCCAAATTGGGAATGCATCACTCTTCATTTCCACATGCTATCAGTTTTAGTATAAAAGGAAGGAACTGCAGAAGCTGTGGTGTGGCTTGGAACCTGTAGCAGTAAGGTTTAGGGAGAAACTTTAAGTGTGATAACACTCTATTGAACAAAAACAGAATTCATTCATAGAAAGAACTTAGCTTTGCTTCCATATGCCTGTGAGCTTTTCCCTTTGTAATCACCTGTTTGGTGAGATTAATTGCTGGATACAGATCTTGCTTGGTGACTTCAGTGTATCCCTTTTCTGTGAATAAGATAGTTTTTGGTTCAGTATGACAGGGGCAATAACAATGCCCAGTCTGTGTGTGTAATGTATTTTATTTGCAAAAACCAAGTTAGATAATCTAGCAAATGGTGTGATTTTCATCAAAGTTGTTTAAGATTTGATTTTTGAGAAGAAACCCCAATATAAGATAATCTCCCTCGTCTAGCTGTACTAGGCCCCGTGGGACCAAAAGAAGATTTGAGGACAGTATGTTCCACTGGAAGTTTTGTTTATTTTGAAGTGCTTCAGCTTATCTCTTTCCTGAGTGCTACAAATCCAAACTGCCCTGCAGGAACACAAACATGTTGAAAACTGAGGGCCCCATAACAGCTTTGGGGATTTTCCTAATAGTCCCCAATAAAACTAAGCTCCTAAAGACAATTGAGTCCTACAAAAATCTACTATCTCTTTCTTATGCCAAGGTCAGAACATGGGCTAGGAAATCCTCGGCTTGTTTTGACAAATTTCTAGTCCCTGAAAGGTTATTCCCCACGCACAGATCACTATTTGAAAGCCTAACAACATTGTTAACTCTCCTTCATTTCTTTAATTTGCTAAGGCTGTACTGAAGGATTACTGACCCATTGTCGTTCTTTCCCCCATCCACCCCAGCTCGTACATTTACACTCTCTGGGACAGCTCAGCATGCTGCAAAGAGTTAAACCAGCTGTGCAGTTATTCTCTTGGCGGCTCCAAGTTCCAGGTCCAAGCAATAAGCTTCTGATTGGCTGAGCTCCTATCGGTAGTAATGGGTATCAGATATCAAACTTGAGACCTTACTAAAAACTTGTTAGCAATACTCTCTGATCCCTGGTAGGCTATGACATCAGCCAAGAAAGCCTATGATGATCATAGTAACCTCTGAGTAGGAGGAGGATCCTGCTGGCTGAGTAATTAGTTCTGCACAGCAAGGGGTGAGCAGTTAGTTTTCTGTTAGGATCAGTGTTCACTGCATCCAAACTGGTTTGAGGCACCGGCTGCTGCGAGACAAGTCCCCAGGAAAGCACAACAAACATTGGATGCATTCTGAATTATTAGCTGTGGTCATTTTGCCTCCTGGCTGAAATCAGGGTGGGGTTTCCGGCACAGGACTGCTTGCTGAGAATCACCATGACACTGCTGGGGTCTGAGCATTCTTTGTTGATTCGGAGCAAGTTCAGATCAGGTAGGGCTAATTTGGTATTCCTCCTTACACTTTCTTCTTCTGCAAGTCTTATTTGCTTTTAATAAATGTGTTTGAAGCCCCAAACAAGGTAAATAATAACAAATTGTTAATACTGCCACAATTCTGCCCTCCCTTCCCAACATTCTGGGACAGACTTGCATTTAAATTGAGGGATGATTGTATTGTTCCTATTTCTTTGCTTTTAGTTCTTCTGTGTTTTGTATTTGGATTGTAGTAACTCCAATTAATTTTCATTTCCTTTCATACCTAGTAAATTTGGTCACATATATGAAGGAGTAGGTTCTGAACAGGAACAAACAAGGAATCTTCAGTTTGTGCTTTTTGGTATGTGAGGTTATAATTCCTGAGAAGACAAACCTGGTACTAGTGTATCAGAACGTAGAGATCAGTTAGGACACAACTAATTCAAATAAATGCATTTCCAAAAAAGAAAAGTCACTTGGGGGAAGTAAAAATAGCAAATTTATTTAAAATGACATCACTGCAGAAAAAAGACCCAGTGCCACAGTTCCTCCACAACCATCTGATATTTATAAACTGAGAATCTATCCCAAATCTTCCGTGTTAGTGGAGAGCAGAGAAACTTCTGAAAGAACATTCTCTCTGAGTGAAGGTGAGTGAAGGGGCCTGAAGGGGACAACCCTTCCTCAACAGAAAGTCTTTATTCAAATTCCTACAGATAAAGTCCAGCAAGTGAGTATTCATATACACCTGTGCACATTTTTCCTCTAAATACTTCCTAATTAACTTTATACATAGAACTGGTATAATTCAATGGGCTATGTAATTTGATAGCTGGGGAATGAATATTGTATGATGTTTTACTTTAGAATTCTGTACTTTAGGACAATATTCATATTTACAAAAACTTTTGTTTAGAAGAACCCTAGAGAGTTTTCTTATTTCTAGCCCTAAGTTTTCCAAAATACCTCTTTTAGTTCTTGTTGCTCTATTTTATTTTTTATCGTGACACCTGAGGTTTGTAAGAATGATTATGGGAGTGAGGTGTTTACCAGAAGTAGACTTCAACAGTCACAGCATTAGCAATGTTATCAACACTCTAGAAGATAAATGGAAACCACAACTCCAAGGGGGTTCTGCAGTGTGTGTGTGTGTGTGTGTGTGTGTGTGTGTGTGTGTTTGTTTGTGTGTTTCTGTCCCTTGAGATCTTAACATTGCAGTTGATCAAGCCATTTCTCTATTTGGTGAAGTATGATGAATATTATTCATTCAAAGGCCTCCCAAAGACCTTAGATTTCTATCAAGAATTGTGAAGCAATACTGCCACCTTTCTGAAGAAGAGAGGATGCAGACTTCTTTTGAGGACAGCCACATTCCTTTCAAGTGAGCCGTTGCTGTTTTTAAAACTAATTTTTGCCTGGTTTGCCTGTAAAAGGATTTTGTGATGTTCTTGATAGTAGACTTGCAAAACATACTTGTCAAATGAATCTTTCCTTTCAGTAAATTTCAAGGGGATAGTGAGCACATTAAATTCTTCCACGATTCGTGCGTCCCATCTTGGTGGATTAATGGAGTCATCTTCTTTTACTAGTATTATTTCCCACAATATCTCATGAATTTGAAATTGATTATACTGGTATCTGTTGTAATGCTTTGCAGTCTCTAATCAAAGGGATTTTTCATACCAAAGATCTTATTCAGCATACTCACCTCATGTTTCGTCTCCCATGGCAGGCAGGAGGATTGGTTTGAAAAGAAAGATAGGAAAATAAAGACAGAAGCAAATATGATTAAGTCACAACCTTGAGTCTAGAAATATTCAGCTTGGCAATCAGAGACACACAAGGAGGCTGGTAATATGCTAAGAAAATATAAGAAATATGTCAAGTTAGAAACCTTAAGAAAATATGATGATAAATAAGAAAATAATATAATTTTTGTGCTTAGAAATAGTTATAAATAGATATATAAGCAGCTCCTGCATCCTTGAGTTGGGAATGCTATGTTCTGAAAGGAGGGGTGCCTTTCTACAAAAAAAAATCTATTGTAGCTTGTGACTAGCAAGTAAGGGGGGGGCTTATCAAAATTGACTCTTAGAAACAATATTTAATCTTATATGGCTATCCCAGTTTCATTACTATGATTTCTCTTTGGTATTTGCAAAAGAGGCTGAAATTCTTTATTTTATGGAAAGTATTTCTTTTTAGAGAAACTAAATTTTATTAATAATCATTGTAACATATTTCAAAGAGATTGACACGAACAGCTATACACTAAATCTGATATGCAAATGTTGAACAATTAATATCTTTTAAAAATTTTTCTCAGTTATGGACAGATGACAAAACTAGGTGAAGAATAAATGATGAAGGCTAAACATAGAATGTAGTTTAGAATATAGTCAAATAATACTAGATGTGTGAATTTGGACAGATGACAACTTCTCTGGGTCTCTGTTTCCTCATTTATGCAATGAGGGATATATTAAATGTTCTCTTATGTCCCTTCCAGCTCTACCATTCTGATTTCATGAAAATTATAAAAAGTAATAGCACATAAAATGAATGAATATCACTTAGAATAATTTTATAAGTTAAATTATCATGCTACAAAGCAGTTCACACAAGATAAGCAGTTTATGAAAATGGCTATAATTAATATTAATTATATATAAACTACATTTTTATAGTTTCTCTCTTTTTGTTAGTTTTCCTGTCTTTGTGATTGGCACAAATATTAGGAATTTCCTATCATATCACATATACTTTAATTCTAATATCATGCACAAACATAGAATATGATACTCATACACAGATCCTCAATCTGACTCCCTAATACTCCTGTCCCCTACCACTAGGGCCCAGGTTGATGTTTCCGATAATATTCCCATAGGTCTCCCTGTCATGACTTGGGGCAGGGATGGGGACACTGGTTGGAAATTGAATAGTATATTTAGCTGTTCACTTGGCAGTCCAAACCCCAAAGTTTTGGGTATCACCAGGCCATGAAACTGTATATAGTAACCTTAATGAATGTAGACCCAGACTGAGAACAGTGACATGGGAAAAAAAGAGAACATAGTGAGAAGGGGTCTGAATCTTTGGTATCTGAGAGTCTTGGTCAAGAGGAAAGGTAGGGATAAAATATGGGGAAATAAAGAAAGATTCCATCTGTGCACAAGCAGGGAAAGTAGTGGGGAGGAAGGGATGCAGAAGTGTTAAAGGAGCTAGCCATGAACATCTGTACTTGGGCAGGATGAACTCTAGCTATAAGAAGCACTTGACATGGTTGGTTTCCTTTTCCCATAAGAACTTTCTTTTTGTTTCTTTGCTTTTCTTTTTTTAAGGCAATTGGGGTTAAGTGACTTGCCCAGGGTCACACAGCTAGTAAGTATCAAGTGTTTGGTCTGAGGCCAGATTTGAAGTCAGGTCCTCCTGACTTCAGGGCTGATGCTCTATCCACCGTGCCACCTAGCTACCCCCACTAAGAACTTTCAAAAAAGATCCTTCATAGCTTAAGGCTTGCAATTCACAGCGTGTCCACTCTGAGGGAACCAAGGAGCTCCTTTCTGGAAGGAATTAAAAATCATCCCCTTTTCATTCCACCACCAATCCCAGGCACTCTTAAAATGTGGCTTATTGTTTTTATGACTTTTGACCAGTTGTTAATTGTCTGTATGACTTTGGGCATCATTTTTGTTTGTTTATTTGTTTTTGTCTTTCTTTTTATTGTTTTGTGGGCTCTGTGATTTCACAGGTGTAGGCAATTCCTGCCAAGAAAACTTTATTTGTGCAAAAGAGAGCATGCCTTCATAAATTAGCTCTTACTCTGCAATTTATGGTTTTAAAGAGTTTGCCTGGAGCACTGAAAAGTTAAGTGACTTGTTCAGTTGTGCCCAACTCTTTGTGACCCCATTTGGGGTTTTCTTGGCAAAGATACTGGAGTGGTTTGCCATTTCCTTCTCCAGTTCATTTTACAGATGAGGAAACTGAGGCAAATAAGATTAAGTGACTTACGCAGGGTCATACAGCTAGTAAGTGTCTGAGGCAAAATTTGAACTCAGGAAGATGAGTCTTCCTGACTGCAGGCTTCACACTCTATCCATTGCATCACCTTAGCTACCCTACTGGGAGACCATTTATAAAATGAAGAGATTGGAATAAGGTGATCTTCATGATCTCTTAAAGCTTGAATGTTCTACGTTCTGAAAGAAACCCTCTTTGAGAAAAAAATCTTTCTATTGTGTCTAATGGTAGCCATCTCTACCATTGTGGGGGTGCAGGAAGTAAAAAAGGGAAAAAATTACTTGACAACTTTATTATGTATTTAAAAGTAACAGCAAGTTGTACAAAATAGATTTGCAGTTTCACATACAATCATCTTTTTTTTTCTATTCTACTCTGTTATGGAAATGGCTTGTTTTATTTGTTAAGTTCAGAACACAATAAATCAAATTTTAAAAAAAGAAAAGAAAAAAAATCTCTCTTTCTAAATTCAATATCATAAGATGTCTTTTACTCCATCAGTTGCTTTGTTTTGCTTTTTATTTGTTTGTTTTGTCCAGAATATTATTTTTTTATGTGTGGAGACTACCCAATGGACAATGCAGATCAACTCCTTTTTAACTTAAAGAATTGCCTGAGGGATCAAATAACTCATAGTCATACAGCTAGTAAATATCAGAAGGAGGACTTGGATTCTTTATTCCAAGATTGGTTCTCTATTCATTAAGCCACGTTGCCTTTAAAAAAAATGCCAATGTATCTTTGCTAGGTGGTACCAGCAGAAAATGTTTCCACATTAAATTATAAGAAATAAATCAAATATAAGTCACATATCAGATTATTGCTTGTGTTATTGAAGTGAAAGGCTTAGGCTGCAGGATTACTCTGGACACCTGAAGAGAAGGGGAGGAGAAGGGAGGGAGAACAGGTAGATAAGTAGAAGCATAGAAAAGTGAAGCTGAGGGCAAAGAAGACAAACTTCACCAACTTCACTGTGGCATGAATGTTCAAATT